ATTAAAGGTGATATAAATATTTTATACAAGAAATAATTCTGACTTTTTATAAAGTAGCTTCATCATAGGCATCTCTTAATAAAAAGTTTCCTGTCTACCAAGTGACTCCTTGTGCCCATATTCTAGTGTACTTTCCACTAAATAAGTGAACAAATGCACAAGGATATTGGCCCTCCCAAGCATGCATGACAGCAAGGGCACTTGGAATGCACTTGAGTTTTTCTTGGTCATTCTATCCTCACTCATGTTTAAAGTCTCCTTAATTGCTCTGAAATACAGAGCTCTGTATTTCAGAGCAATTAAGTAGAGACAGATGCGTCACTACAGATATGCTTACCTAACAGACACAAGATTCCCAGCCTCATAAAATCCCAGAGGAGGAAAAGCCCTGGAGGGCCTCTAGTTCTCCTCTTCCCCCACAACAGGAAATCTCCCTGCAACTGCCTGGCCATGGCTGCCCTCCAAGTCAGATCTCTACTCAGCCAGTCCCCTGCTTAGTGCTGTGAGCTGCCTGGGTTATCTGGCCCCAGAGTCTTGTGCACTGACCAATTTCCTATGTTTTGTGAGGTTTGTTTGTCTGTTCGTTTCGTTGGTTGGTTTCGTTTGCTTTGTTGGTTTTGAGACAGAGTCTTGCTCTGCCCCCCAGGATAGAGTGCAGTGGCACAACCTCCGCTCACTGCGACCTCTGCCTCCCAGGTTCAAGGGATTCTCATGCCTCAGCCTTCCAAGTACCTGGGACTACAAGTGCATGCCACCACGCCTGGATAATTTTTTGTTGTTGTTGTATTTTTAGTAGAGTTGGGGTTTCACCATGTTGGCCAGGCCTGTATTGAACTCCTGATCTCAAGTGATCTGGCTGCCATGGCCTCCCAGCGTCCTGGGATTACAGGCATGAGTCACTGCACCCAGCCCAGCTTCCTGTGTATTTGAGCAAAGTTCAGACTGAAGGTGCTAATCTATTAGAGCCTGTAGAAGTCCTAACTCCTCTGTCTCTCTTTCCTGCTAGGAAGCCCTTGATGTTTTATCATAGTGAAAGGGAAGAAATCTCCATTTGTTGCTGCCAACCTGGGCAATGGCAAGTCTAAAATGGTTTAAGTTAGATCTGAGGAATTTGTTTTTAACGAAGTAAAACATTTCTCCTGCCCCCTTTTACTTGTTTTTTTAATCCAGAGGTATAAAAATCTTAGATTATTTAAAACAAGTAATGAAATATGCATTTTAAACAGATCATAACAAACTGAAGAAGGACACTAATGAGACTGATGGCGATGAGTGGAAGATGGTGAGGAAAAATAGAGGTGGGGAGATTGAAGGCAGACAAATGGAGACAGTGGGGTGATGGAGAGAGCAGTAAAGGCTAGCAGAAAGAATAACATGCAAACAGAGGAGGAGGACAGAGTGAGAGTGAAGAAAGAAGGAAGGAAAGAAGAAAAGAGGGAGGAGACGGAAGGAGGAAAGAAAGAAGAAAGGAAATAAGAGAGGGAGGAAGAGAGGTAAAAGCCAACAGAAAGACAGAGTTACTTGCAAACAAAGAGGACAGAGCGGGAGTGAAGAAAGGAAGCAAAGAAGATGGAGAGGGAGGGAGGGAGGGAGGGAGGAAGGGAGGGAGGGAGGGAGGAAGGGAGGGAGGGAGGAAGCGAGGGAGGGAGGAAATAAGGAGCAAAGAAAGGAAAGAGAGGAGGGAGGAGAGAGGAAGAAAGGAAGGGAAGGAAGGAGGAAGGAAAGAAAGAAGGAAGGAGAAAGGGAGGGAGGGAGGGAGGAAGCGAGGGAGGGAGGAAGCGAGGGAGGGAGGAAATAAGGAGCAAAGAAAGGAAAGAGAGGAGGGAGGAGAGAGGAAGAAAGGAAGGGAAGGAAGGAGGAAGGAAAGAAAGAAGGAAGGAAAACAGAGACAGAGGGAAGGGGAAGGAGCAAGTTTGAAGTGGGTGATAGGTCAGAGGTAAATTACTCATTAGACTCCAGGTTACTTGCTATAATAATAACTGTTAATAATAACATTTATTGAATGTTTACTATCTCCCAGATACTATCCTAAGTACTTTAGATGTAATCCTCTTCACAACCCTATGAATTTTGACTCAATAATTATAATTTTAGCCATCAGTCTCAGGCATAAGAAAGCTATACACTAGAACTCTAGGTAATGACTGGCAGAGCCAGGGTTCAAGTTCAGGTAGGCTGGCTTTGCATCTCTTGGCCACTTGTCTCTAGTTCCCTGCAGCTTCTTCTTATTCTCCAGACTGACCATGCATTGCACTATCCACTGAGATTTCCATGAGCCTTACAGAAGTTGAAAGCAACACTCTATCTAGTGGTGTTAGCAGATTGGAAAGTCCATTGTAGAATTTAAGTTTATTTTATTCAGTGATGTTTCAAAACATACTTTAGAAGTTTACAGATGCTTGGCAATTTTCTAGCCATTTCAAGCTCCTTTAACAGTTCCAAGATTTTTAATTGCCTTATTGTTTTGCTTAGAGTGATCAGAGTTGCTTTATTCCTTGCGAACTAGAGGTCTTAAATAAAACCAGCATTTATTTCTACTTCATAACAAATTCTTGTTTTGTGGTCTAGTTAAAACTAAGTAGGAAATATGAAAGAAAAGCTTTTAAAAGCTAGGAATAAATGTTACATGTATATAATAAATGCAACCAGTAAATGTTTAGTGAATAAATGAAATTGATTAATCATTGCTTGGCAACAGCTTTTAAACTACCTCTAGCAGTTTAAAGAAAACCTGCTAAAACCCATTCTGGAAAACCCTTTTGAAAGTACTTGCCAGTAGAAGAATGGTTCCTAATGATTAAGATAAAAGAAGTATCATTTATTTTCTATGAGTCTGCTGAAATTAAGGCTAGCATCCATCCAGGAAAATTGAGTTATTTTAGGTACTTTAAACAGAGGAGCATTAATGGAAGCAATTAATTATTTAAAGAGATATTGCATAAACATGAGATGCAGGAGGAAAAAAGAAACAGGACTCATACCCAGAGAGTGAGAACAGATGCCTACCACTGCCCGTGAGCTGCAGTTCACAGGCTACATGCACTGCTGAGCTGTTGAAGATGCTGACAGTTTCAAGAAAGCAAGTAGAGCAGGGCAACTGTGGAGCTGAGAAGCCATTTAGATCTCACCTGTACAGAGGGTGTCTAGATGAGTGCATTACTATAGCAGAAGTATATACACACCACCCTTCCATCCACCTAAAACCTTTTGGTTTGACCTTCTAAGTAGCCTGTGCAAACCAACTGTTCTCCAAAAAATAAAAAACAGAAGGCATGCAGGAATTTGGTGAAGGGCATTTTATAATTGTCTAGGTACTTAAAAATAAAACTAGGGAGCATTTTTCACCACATACAGGAGTTTTTAAATATCTGTTTTCTTGTCTATTCTATGTTTGATTTTTAACATTGTCATCATTAATTTTTTTTTTTTGCCTTAACCTTAACAACCACTTTTCAAATTTGATGACTTACCACATTTTCCTTCAGCTTATAAAGAGAATTATACTTACCTGCCCTTTAAATGGATTATGAAATTAATTATTGAGTGAGGGGTATTAAGCCATTAGGAAAGAGTTTATTAAAGAACAATTCCAATTGTAAAGTGCCACCAAGACTCTAAGAATATCATACTAAGTCACTGAATGCAGTCAGAGATGATGTTCACATGTTTTATTATAGCTCTTACAGAGAGCAGTTATTTCAAGGAGATTGCTTTATTCTGAACCCTGCAGCCGATTCTGAGGTTGATGGCATTTAATTTTATGTATGTATTCAGAGAGAAATGAAATGGCTTGATGGTGACATACATTTCAGGATTTCTCTTTTATTGGATTGAAAAGCAGGTACTTAGACTTGCATTAACGTTTGAAGCAAAGAAAGCCATGATCAGCCCAAGTTTCATGTTAGGAAAAACAGTGACATTTTGGAAATTAATTAATCTTATCTGGAACTCCAGCTGCATTACATTAAATTTGATCAAATGCTGAATGTCATCTGCAGTCAAGCTAATTTCACTAAGGGCCAAGAAGATGGTGTTACATTGAGGCGGGGCTAGTCAAGTGAATCTTGTCCATCAGCACAGTGGGGAATCTGCTGAGCTTATAGATTTAAAATCCTCAAAACAATTTCCCTCTCCTTAGAGGTTTTCCTAAGTGCATGTGGATTTGGGCTGAGATTCCTCCCCGCTGGATCCACTAAAAAGACTTTTCCTCTCTCTTGTTGACAGTTCTCAACCCGTACATAAAATACATTCAAGAAAATGTGATGTGAAGGGTTAGGTTAGTTCATGGATCATGGCATTTAAGAGGAAGAATCACCCTTGAAAGGTTAAGTTCAGGATTCACTTTCACATGTGAGATAAATATTGACTAGTAATCAGGAAGTAGGCAACAGTAGTAAGATTATTTTTAAAATAAACCAACCTCTACAGTACAGAATGGGGGTGACTTTCAGTGAATTCTTGAAAATTCCTTTGAAGTGGCATAGCATCATGGTTAGAAACATGGGATCTAGACACAAGTGGCTTGGGTTTACATCCTTGCTCTATCACTTAGTAAATGTAAGATTTAGAGTGAATTGCTTAACCATTCTGGGGCTCAGTTTCCCTACAAAATGAACATAAAATGAAACCCTTTAAAATGAATATAACAATAGTGCCTATTTCATAGAGTTATTGCAAGGATTAAATTAGTTAAAATCTGTGAAGAGCTTTGAATGGTCCTTGGCATATAGTAAGCACTACATATGTGTTTGTTAAATAAACAAATTCGTTTCTCGAGACAAGAACCTCACTCCTAGCCTTGTACACATAATGCACGCAAGTTCCAATGCTGAAGCAATCAATCCTTCTGAGAAAGAAAATCACGGATTCCCAGAGCCTTATTTTCAGAATCACTCATGTTGCTTCCAGACATTGGCTATTTAATCCTTCCAGAACAACCGAGAGAATTTACGCAAATAAACTTCTCCTTTTACAGAAGAGAATGCTGCTGTACAGGAAGATCAAGTGTTTTCCTTGAGATGACCCACGGAACTCAACCCTTTCTCCATGTTTATTCCTTTACTAGATCACTTGCTGTTAGGCATAAAGTAATCCTAAACTGATATGAGATTTAAAACAAAAAACTTAAAAAGTGTAAGATTCAAATCAATTTTAAAAAGTCAGGGTACACATAAGAGAAATGAATCCTCTGTGTGATACTTCTGCAATTTTCCAGACGCTGGATGTTTTCTTCTGACTGTTGCGGGAAACTAACAAAGTAAGTACTGCTGAATGGACTTCAGTTTTCACTCATATTTCCTAAGTGAGAAAGGAACTGAAACATGTAGCTGGGTTTTTTAAAAATAATAATAAGTTATGCATGTAAGTTACATTTCAATTCATAGAAATGTGGTTTGACTCTGCCAGGTCAAGAAAAAAAAATTATTATTAGGATGATCTGGGAACATGGAGAGCTTCAAGGCCCCTCATTATTGTGGGATGTAAAAACCTGGTCAAGGTATAAGAAAGACAGAAATGAATGTGAGAAGAGTGTCTGGTGGGGAGGACAGACATGTTCAACTTTCCCCTCCAAATAGCTCCTTGTCAAGTTTTGAAAAACAATCTTTATCCATAAAAGTTTCCTCATGCCAAATCCTGTTTGTGCAAGAATCCTTCAACTTTACCCAGCCCAGCAAAGTGTCTTACAGGCAGGAAAGAGGGAGGGAGGGAAGATAAAGAGATAAAGAAAAGAGAGAGCCAGACAGCGAGGGGGAGTGGGCAGAGAGAGAGGAGATTTTCAATTATTTCCACGTTAATTCATGGTTTGAGAAAAAAAAAAAAAAAAACTGGTAACTTCTAATGCTAATAATTTCTCCAAACACCAAAACAATACATGCTCATTGCACAAAACTAGGAATTTTTTAAAAAGACAAAAGAAAATCAAACTTACTAAAAGTATTTCACTTCACTGTGAGTATGTGAATAGGTTGGGCTCCATTATCGGTGCCTCTCCCCAATACACACATACATACACACACACACACACACACACATATATCTGTTCCCTGTGCCTATGAATTCATACAGATTTTTTCAATCACATTAGTATCTAAGAATATAGCTTTTTAGCTCAGTTTTACTATTTATTATATCATGAGTCCTTTCTTATGCCCTGCAATATGCTCCATAGATTTTGTTTGTCTCTAGCATAATGTATGCAATGAGTTAATGCAATTTATTAAATCAGTTACATACTAATGGATGTTTGTTTCTATTTTTTTTAAATAAATAATACGTATATTTGTGAATCTTGATGTAATTCTATAGTTATTTCATTAGGAATATTTTCTAGAAGTAGAAATTCTGAATCAAAGTCTATGAGTATTTTAAAGCATCTAATATATAATATTGTGTTTGGTGTTTTCTCTGATTTTAGTGAGATTTGAATATTAACCTCTTTTCTCAATATAGAAATCCCAGTTTATTAAGTCAACTGTTTTTCTGTTTAATTTATAATGTTTTCTTCGTTCTGCATTATGCTATTTTCTCTATTTTCCTCTAGGTTATTTTCTATAATTACCTTTTTGAGGAATTAGGTAATTCATTTTTATTCTTTCTATAGAAACATTGCTAAGTACTTTAAGTGAAATATCTAATTTAACCCTAGCAGGAACTCAGTAGATACTATTCTTAGCTCCGGTTTATAGCTGAGGAAGTGGACTTAAATAAGTTAAACAACTTCCAAAGTTCACATAGTAAACAGATCGTGAAATCCAGGCTTTATCTCCTCACACAGTGCAAAGATTCAAAGACAGTGAACTTCCTTACCTGTGAGCACAAAGTTGTGGGAACAACCCATGAGATGGATGGGTCTTGTACTTTTTTGATATTTTTTTAACATGAAGGATAATTTACATGTTCTACCTAGGATAATGTTTTCTGTTTTATTTTGCTAGAAATAGCATATATTAATGAAATTTTAATTGCAATTTCTAATATTATCGTGTGACAAAATTTATCAAGGAGTTTCCTATTGAAAACTTATCAAAGCATTTTCATAAGATTGCTATTTTTAATGATTCTTACAAATGTTACAGAAATATTTGGAAAGAGGCATTCTCTTCTTACACAATAGAATATCCATATATATCAGATAAGTTGAATTTATTAAATTTTATTCACATTTATTTATTTTACTCAATTTTTACTTAACTTTTTTATTTGCTCAATTTCAATTATTTTCATAGACATGTTTTGCCCCAGCCTGAGAATAGTGTAATGTCTATCTTTCAATGCCTTCTTACCTTTAATTCTTCTGTGTATGATATTAGCAATGCCTTCTCCACTCTCTACTTGCCTAATTTATCTTTGCCTTTCCTTTTATTTCCAAGATTTTCTTGTCATTTCATTTTATGTGAGAATTCCACATATACTAGTCTTTGGATCTGAGATCTTTTTCTTTTTAATACTCAAGATTAATCCACTCACATTTATTCTGATAACTAATGTGCTTGCTTTTTACTTTTGTTCTTTCTTCTTTTTCCTTTTTCCTTTTCCTTTCCCTCTCACATTTCCAAAATGATATATTCCAGATTTTATTTATATTATATACAAAAGAAAGCTCCAGCTCTTTAGCTTGGTATCTGTCTTAGCCTGTTTGTGATGTTATAATAGAATACTTGAGACTGGGTCATTTATAAAGAACAGAAATTAATTTTCTCACAGTTCCAGAGGCTGAGCAGTCCAAAGTCAAGGCACGAGGGGTCTTGTAAGGACATTTCTGCTGTATGATCACATGGCAAACGGCAACATGGCAAGAATGCAAGAGAGAGTGCACCCTCTTCCATAATTAATAATGAGATTAATCCGTTTAATCTCATAAAGGGTGGAGCCTTTATAATCTAAACACCTATTAGGCCTTGTCTCCCAACACTGTTGCATTGGGAATTAACTTTGTAACACATGAATTTCTGCAGGACACATTCAGACTACTGCAGTCTCCATAAGTCTTTCTGGGATCTGGTCCTAACTGTTTCTACAACCTCCAGGCATCTGTTCCTCCTGCCATGACTTCCAGTACACCTGAATTGCTTTGCATTCTTGCCTACACAATGCTGCTTCATGCTCTAGCTTTATTTGTGTTGTTCCTCTTCTGTTGTAATGCTCTTGCTGTAGTTTTTCACCTGGCTAAATTTCATTGCCTTTCCCAGAATTATTCTGTCATCTCCTCCAGAAGCTTTCTCTGAAATATCCTCTGAGTCTTCTAATGTGTTCTCCTAGCACCCTGCATGCCTCTCCCTGGGTGCTCTCTCAGAATTCCTCTTGCCAGAAGAAGTTTATCAATTACAAATAAATGAATGTCAGAGAGACCTCTGTTTATAATTACACTATTTCTTCATGACAGATTTAGCAATTTACTAATAAAAATGTAGGGCTTTCCTTTAAACTGAAAAACAGCTGCTGTTACTTAGGCTTATAAGCTAAATGGTTCTATCAATTCAGACAATGGACATGATCATAATAAAAACCATGAATACAGCATCACAGTGATAGCCACTTCCATGGAAGTATAAAGAACAACATCTCACATGCACAGGAATTGATTTAGATTTGGAAGCCACCTGTCTGTTGAGCCAATATATTGAGGTCCATAAAGGTGGTGTTCTATGTTATCCTTAAATAGCTCCACTCCTCCTAGCAATTGCTCTAACAGTCACCAGCTGCTGTGTCAGAGGTGGGCCCCAAGATATTACATCTATGCCAACAGCTCAGCTCCAGGATAAACAAGGAAGCCCTGAGAAGCCCTTTCTTAACTTTTTCTTTCTTAGTTCAGTTATGGCTCATATCATGGCCTTAGCTTAGCAAATCACACTTAAAGCAGAGGCCGTGAGCTTTAGCAAAAATGACAGATGACATTGGGTCCTCACAAAAGCCCAATCTGTGACCCAGGCTGTTTCAGGCAGGTGTCATCTGCACACAGGACAGGTACTTGTACCTTTATGCATTGAGTTCTTTACAGCATAAGTGAAATAGATCTTCACAAATCTTCACACCCTGAGGGAAACAATATGAAGGGTCTCACCAGCTTGGCGAGCGGATCTTACTAGGATGCTGTGCTGACAGATATCACCTCTCTCTGCAGGATTCCCACTTTTCAGTGCAACAGTGAAAAACATTTGTGACTTTTGAAAGAGTAAGAGCGTCTGTCAAAGCAGGCACACACACACACACACACAAAGAGTAAGAAGATGAGAATCGATTGCCATTCATTGTCCTAGGTCTGACCAATACTGAGCTTTTTTGGGCTGAGTGAGCCCTCCTCCTTCCCTCCTTCCCTCCCTCCCTCCCTCGCGCTTCCTTCGCCCCCCTCCCTGCCCGTCCCCCTCCTTCCTTC